GAGTCCATGCATACATTAAACATTGAGCACGTGAATACATATGAGATTAAGTTCATGTATGCACAAAACGTTGAATCCATGTATAAACAAAACATTGAGTAATAAAATTAATTAAAAAAGTATTTTATAATGTCACAATATATTATGTATATGCAAATAAAAAAATAAAAAATTTTAAAACATTGATGTTTACCATGTTAGAAATACCAGAATCCTGCATATCAAATACCATGGTGATTTGTTTTCCAGGATATTGCAAACTCTACCATTCAAATTCAAAACAAATAAGTAAATACAAATCTGGAAATATTTTATTTCATAGCATAAAAAAATTTAATTAGAAAAAATATAATGTAATATACATAATAATGTAACTATATAATTAAATATACTGCTAAAAAAAACTACAAAGACTTTATATAAAAACAAAAAATATGTTTTTTAAAAAATAAGTTATTACTTTAAAAACAGAAAGCTATTTTAATTTTATTCAAAATAAGGATTAAACTATGCTGATTATAAAATTCCACAATAAAGAGAAAAGGAAATCTTATATTAACAGTACATCATCATACATCAAATCTTACATCAATTTTAATAATCAACTTTAAATCAAAAAATAAGTTGTTTTAAGGTGATAAATTCATTTATGTTAAAATTTTTCCGGTTTAAACTAATAAATAGATATTTCTGTACAAACCAGAATCTATATATTTTACCACTTGATAGGTATCTCTTTAGTTTACTATGTTATATCCAGTTATTATATATATATTTTTTGTGAGTTTGTGAACATTTTTAAGTGCAGGACTTATAGGTAATATATTATATATTTTCAGTGTAATATCAGTGTAATATTAATTAATTAAATTAATTAAAAGAATACCAAGAGTATTAATGGCAGTGATAAAAGCAAAAGGTGGTTTTTTTGATAAAAAGAAAATTTAATTTAATATATATTTTTTTAATTTAAAGTTATAACATGTATTTATTATGCTTAAATATTACAATAAATTTAAAGGGATCCCCAACTGCCGAGACAAGTTGTGTTCATATTAAAGAAAATGTTTAAAAAAAATAATTGGGCTAAATTTTTTTGATTAAAACTTAATAATGAATGCACACCATTAAATTTAAAATTCACATTTTAGTCGAAGTTGGCCGTCTCCATTTTTTTTTGGTTCTCGGAGTCTGTATAATGTTAGCTGCAATCTGCAGACTTGATAATTTATTCAATGCGTGCTAATTCATAACAGTTTTGGTATATAACGTCATCGTATAAATTTTTTCTTTTAAGATGTATTATTTTTTTTGCCAAAATTACCAAACCATGTTAATTGTATAACTTTTTACTAAATCTGAAAAGAGTTTATGATGCAATTAAAAATTAAATTTATAAAAATAAAAATTTAATATATAATGAATATTTACAGTAAAACGTACTGGTTTAAACTAAATATAAACTAGATACAAAAAGAATAATTTAACTAAAGCATATAAGTTAATTTAAAGTATAAACTGAAAAAAAAAATAAGTGACTTGAATAAAACATAAACTGAACAAAGTAGAAAATAAATATTAAACGACTTATTTTACTAATAACCGTTCAAATCAAACTAAATTAAAGTTAAAACAAATATTTGTACTAAAATAAACAATAAATAGCTATAATATAAATATAAAAACAAATAATCGCATTAAACTGTTTGCTACCAGCCGAACAAAAATCTTTTAACAAAAATCTTTTTGTAACAACCGCACATTTTTTTGAATAACGTTTGAATAGCATAACATTGACAATTAATTAAAATTCGATAATAATAAAGTTTTTAACACGCTTCATTAAACAATCAGAAATGCAAAGTGCTTAAAACTATTGTTTTTGAAAGTAATAACTAAAACATGAAGTTCAAAACAAGCCTCATTTAGTAATAAAAATATTATTTTTTCTTCAAAATACTTTGATAATTATTTAACTAAATACTTCAAACACTTCTTCAAGTTAAGTGTTTATGCTGTTTTATTTTGTAATTAAATTTAAAGTTTTTTTATGAAGGTTGTTTAAGATTTTTTAACTTTGTGATATTTTTTTTTATAATTACACAATTATAGCTCTTATTTTTTCTTGATTATGTAGAGAGTTAATTAAAACTTCAAAACAAATAAATTCTATGTGTCTAGAATGGAAATTTATGTACTAAACAAGATAAATTGTAAAGCATATACTCGAAAGCCGCTACCAGTGGCTAGCAGTAGTGAAAGAGTTAAACCATAACTAAATGTAAATTAAACATAAAACGAACAACTCTATTGAACGATATAAACTAAATATAAAACGAAAAACCGCATCATACTGCCTTTATTTTTTCTCTGCCTGACAACTCTAATAATCACAACATATGGATAATTGTGTCAAGATTTTGGCTGGCTTCTACAATATAAATAAATAATAAACATAAAACAATAACAAAAAACAAGTAAAAAAAATTATAAATATAAAAATATATATATATTTGTATATTTTTTTACTAAATCACAAATATTTTTTGTGATTTAGTAAAAAATTATACAAATATTTAATTTTCTGATTGTAGTAGAAAAACTTTTATCTTTAAAAAAACAACAAAAAAACGCTATCTTAAAAAGATATTGCGATGACCTCATATACCGAAACTGCTATGAATTAACACGCATTGAATAAATTATCAAGTCTGCAGATTGCGGCTAACATTATACAGACCCCAAGAACCAAAAAAAAAAATGGAGAAGGTGAGCTTTGACTAAAACGCTAATTTTAATTTTGTTGGTATGCATTCATTATTTAGTTTCAATCAAAAAAATTTAGCCCAAATATTTTTTTTAAACATTTTCTTTAATATGAATGTATATATATATATATATATATATATATATATATATATATATATATATATATATATATATATATATATATATATATATATATATATATATATATATATATATATACATATATATATATATATATACATATATATATATATATATACATATATATATATATATATATATATATATATATATATATATATATATATATATATATATATATATATATATATATATATATATATTAAGTTGATTTAGGTGCCCCAAGAAGTCCTTACAGCCTTATCACAGAGCACTGCGGAAGAGCATTTAATAGAAAGTTCACGCCTCCTTCCCAACCGATGTCGCAAAACTTGCCCAGAGGTGGGTTTGAACCACGGATCTTACTTATCTGAGGCAAGTGCGCTGCCACTGCGCCACAGCTGCTCGCATGGTTATATATATATATATATATATATATATATATATATATATATATATATATATAACCACGCATTGCGTAGGTCTTGTTATCAACCAATAGTAAAATATTTTATATGCTTGATATACAACAAAATCATGTATAACGCAATCATTATTATCTTTGAATATGGCTACAACATCACTTAGCGCGAATGTTAGCGTCCACACAGTTTAAGGCCTTGCCAAAGACTTTTATCTTCAATCATACCATGGTACATTAAACCACATCTTTATCAAAAATAAAAGTTTGATTCATTCAAATTTTGAAAAGAACACAAGGATTAGATTGTTAAATAGTGGTAATAAATGTGTATAGTACAAAAATGATCATATTCTTTTGTGCATAACTATATAAAAACATGAACAAAGATAAAAAAATTTCAAATATAGACTTAAGGTAATAAGGTAAAAAACTTCTGATAAAATGTGAAACTTAAAGATAAAATGTGCAAATGAAAAACCTCATAGCAGAAGATAAAATACTAATGGTAAAGTAAGAAAAATGTCAGATTAAGGGCAAAAACGTAAATAACAAAAAAACAACATTATTATTACAATTTTTGAAATAAAAAATGTAATAATAATCTTTAAAGTATACTTACAAGTTTCTCCAGAGCAAATGCAAACAACTTTTTAACCTCTTTCATATCAAATAATTCTTTTTTGTACTTTTTCATATGGAAAAAAACTAAAAAAAATAAAAAAAAGCTGAAAAAGTTAAGAAATTTCAAAAAAATTTAATTATAAAAGCAAATTAACAGTCCTTTATATAATGCTCCTTACAATTATGAAAGCATATTAACCTTCCTAATTATTTACAAAAGTATTTATACAATTTATAAAAATTATTTATAAAATAATTTATATATATATATATATATTTATGTAATTACAAGTTTTAGTTCAAGAGTTAATATGATAAACATTAAAATGTGTTTTTAAATAATAATTATTATATAAATAAATAATTTTTAAATAACATTAATGATATTATAATATACGCTTTTTTAATCTTAAACTATTCGTAATTAAGTTAAAAAGATTTTATTACAGATATTATTGCTAATTATTGAACAAAGTCTTTTTTTTACTTTATTCACTTCCTCAAAGTCAAGGGGAGGATTAGAGCTAATTCAATAGTAGATTAGTGGTAGAACTTTTGACTCACAGTCACGAGATTCAAGGTTCTAGAAGCATCTTGCTCAACCTGTTTCTCCACACAGTGGCCTTGTTAAACAAAGTTCCAGGTTCAAATCTGGAGAGAAAATTACAAATAAAATAATTGAAAAAAAAAATCTACACAAAGATTAACAAACAAGACGGTTCCGCAGAGAAACAAGTTGACTATAATACTTAGTAGTTAAAATACAATTATATACTAGTATATATTAGTAAAACTATATATTAGTATAACATATAATTTCTTTCCTAATTTCAAATATAAATAACTATACTAGTTTATTAACTAACTGCTAAAAATGAATTAACTAAATTTTTTACCCCTACAAAGATTATCTAACTTTTGCATGTTGTATACACAATACACAATTTACTTAAAATAATAAGAAATTTACGCAAGGGGTTTCCATGTTTGTCTTTATTTCGTGGGTATAAAAATCCAAGTTCAAAAAGACGCCTGTCAATGTTTCTTTCCATTATATCTAAAAAAATATAATCAAATGTAAACATTAACAACAGTTTTTTTACAACTTACAAGTTTCTAAATTTATTTTTTCAAATTTGTTAAAATTTTTACTTCACAGGCGAGCTCTGTGATTTCACTGATAATCTTTTTGAAATATTAACTGTCCGAATTTTTCACTTCTTCTAGTTTTAAATCACACTCAGTTAAAAGTTTATACAATTTTTCAAATTTATATGCAAAAACTTTGCAAATAAATTTGAAACACTTGGTCAGGATTCTACCACAAATTTGCAAACACTTGGTCAGGATTCTACCAGAAGTTTGATCAAAGAAACCCAGAGTTTAAGACAATCCTAATAATCCATTTTTGCTATCAAGGTATTCACAACATTATTTATTCACCATTTCTAATTATTCAAATTCAATTATTTTAAAGTAGTAAAAATTTTTATTGTTATTTACTTTATTTTGTTGAGATAAGTTGCTTGGACTATAAAATCAATTTTAGACAAATTAATTTATTGCATGACTGAGAATTCATTGCAAATTGATTCTAAAAGGGTTTTGTGGTGCGCCATACTTCTCATGTATGTAATGAATGCAAATGTATATGTAAATGTATAAAATGTATATAATGAATGCAAATAATAACAAATGGTTCCATAATTTAATCTAAAATAGTCTAAATGATTTTATGGTTTAACTGTTAGCAATTAAAAAAATTACAAACTATTTGCCTTTTTTTACCCTAAAAATGTATAAAATATAAAATTATATGTAACTTGCAAATTTAAACAGAATAATTCTTTTAGCCAAACTTTTTATTTTGAAACAACAGGGCTTAATTTTTTATAAGGTCCCGGACAAAATGTCCGACCAAAAGTTATTTTGGTCGAACATTGTCCAATCAAATTTTTAAAATAAAATTTGAACAAATAGTTTTTACAAATATTTACATATATTCATAGTTTAGTTTAAAGGAACACAGGAAAAAGATAGTTCTTTAAATGCCGAGAGTAAAAAAGTAATGCAGATGGGTTTTCTTAGACTAGCTACTGGCGTATCTGAGTTTTACGGAATCCAATTATCCAATCGAAATATGTTATGTTTTCCCAGTTTATTTTATTTTAGGCTAGTGAAGTTGTAGTTTTTTTTCCTAATATTCAGAATTTTTTATCAGAATTACAATCTTTATAGAAATAAAAAGAAAAAAATAAAGATATAGTTTAAAAAACGAATAATGAATAAAGAATCGGAAAACTTGAGAAGGACCTGGATGCCACCGAGAAACCGCTCTAACTAAAATAGAATGATTTGGATGATCATAACGCTAACGTTTAAATGTATATCTTCTTAATGTTTGTTTTTTTAATATTCCATCGATGAGATCTAAGCCTCTAAAAAAACACATTTGTAAAATCTTTTATTATCAAATTTTTAAAACTGCCAGCTTTTCTTTGCTTTTCTTGGTGTCCACGGTGTTTGCAGTAATCATATAGAGTTTATTCATTCTATAAAAAAAAATAATAATTAGCTACACTAACTTTCTTCATTTTGATATAATTAAACTTTTTTTTAAGCTTCTTTTCATTATTGTAATCTCATCTTTTGACTTCTTGAAAAAACTTTTACATATTTGAAATATTAGTAGAATTCAATAATGCAACATTTATTAGATTAGGCGCTTTTCCAAAGTTACTTTGCTCATTCGAATTTTATAATATCTATTTTGCAATCATTTTAAACAAGCAATAATTTTAAATTTAATAATATAAAAATAAAACTGTTAAAGAACAGTCATTAAAACTACAATTAATAACAGCGCTTTTTTTGGGAATGAATGCCTCCATTATCAACATATTTTATAAGTTTGTCTGATAGTTTACATTAAGTTTAATTTTGTCAATTTCAAATCAACGAATAAAATTTTATTTTAAAGTATTAAAAATCCCGTTGGACAAAATGTCCGATGACTTTGTAAACTGATCAGATAATCTAATAAATTAGTTAAATTGTTCCGACTGTTAAATTAGGCCCTGAAACAATATTATCAAACTTTTTACATTAAAAACAAAATAAAACTTAAGCTATTATATACATAAAATACATTTATGTATAAGCTATTATAGACATAAAACGGTCCATTATTCTATTGTTTCGATGTATTGGACCTAGACCGTTAGCAGAAAAACACCACCAGACCATTACATTGCCTCCACAATGCTTTACGGTCTTATGGAAGTTATGTAAATCGAGGCGTTTTCCGGACGGTCAACATAAACAGCAAATGCAATCGCTCCCAATGATGTTGAACTTCTATTCATCACTGAACAGGACAGTTCGCTATTTCTGCACATTCCAGTTGATATGAGATGTAGCAAACAGGAGTCTTTTCTTCTGGTTCTTTAGTGAAATCGACAGTTTCTTTGCAGGACATCGAGAAAACAATCCTGCTTCAACAGCACGTCATCTGATTGTTTGGTCCGATACAGGCAGTTCTAATTGCTTTTGTATCTTGACTGATGATATCCAGGGATCCTTCTTGACTTGAATTATCTGACCATCATAGAATCCTCTCTAGAAGTGGTGGAACACTGTCTTCCACCTTTGTTATCAGCTACCAACTTCCCCGTAGAACGATATTTGGAACATAGTCTTGATACAGTCCATTTTTTCACGCGGTATTTATCAAAAATACTTATTTGTCACATTCCACTGATGTAATCGCCAATAATTTTCATAAACATAAAAGTCATAAAAATAAATAATCACGCTTCTTAAGGCTTACCGTGTTACATTTATCTTGATACAACAGTGCTCTGTGGAACACAACGTCTCGGTTGGATGTAGACTGTATTGATGTAATAAAACACTTGTTGTATTTCACTTCTTGTATTGATGTTCTTTGATAAAAAACACTTTGATAAAACTCTCTTCGATAAACTGTCTTGATAATACTGACTGATTACATGTCGGTTTACATGTCTTTTATATAGTAAAATGAACCTGTGTGAACCTGCTCTGGAATATTCTAGATGCTTTTTTTCGATATTTCTGGATGCTTTTGAATGTTTCTGTATACTTCTGGATGCTTCTAGATGCTTCCAGATGCTTCTTCTGGAAACTTCTAGAAGCTTTTGCATGCTTCTGGAAACTTCTGGATACTTTCTTTAATTATTAAAAAACTTCCATGTTGACACGGACCAGACTTAAGAAAATGAAACAAACAAAAAAGTTGAACTTGTTTTATCCACTGCAAAATGGCACTTGTCAACGAAATTCTGCCTGTGTGCACATGTCATGGCATGCTATGACTCCAGACTCCTGAACTGTTTGCTGTGGTAGTATAGTTCGTTTTGTTTTTAAGATATGTAAAATTGGAAATCTTTTTTTAAAAATAATTGATGCAAGCTTTGGGGTCATCCATAAAGTACGTACGCCCAAAATTTCAAAAAATTGACCCCCCTCCCCCCAGTTGCCATGCATACTTTTTAGTCCTCTCCCCCCTTTGAAAAGTACGTTTGCTTTTGAAGTACCCCCCCCCCATCTTCTCTTTTCTCTTTATGAGTTAAAAAGTTAAAATTTATAAAAAAAAACATTATTTAAGAAATTTAAATATTAGAGATCGTCAATAAAGTACGCCGGGCATGAGTAAAAATAAGAAGTTATCAAAAAGTGGTGATATTCTTTATATTTCAAAACGTTTCATTTCATTAAATCAATTGCTCAATACTTTTCAAAAACAATATGAAGTATAAAAAGAATTTCGGAATTTCTTCATATTTCAATTTTTAATTAATTAGCGTGACAACAGTCTTACTAAGGGTAACAAGTTTAAAAGCTAAAGTTTTCAAGTATTGTTAAACTTTAAATATTAATTTTTGAAATTGTTATGTAAATAGTATTTTTTATAATTTTTTAAACTTTATTTTGTAAAAAATATTTTATAATAAAAATGAGATACTATAAATTATTTAAAAATTAAACAAACAACCCCCGTTTGCATTTATTGTAGCTTGTAAATTTAAGTTGTGCTTTAAATAGTCAGTTAAAAATTAGTTTGAAGGCGGAATTATTAAAATGAATAATAGTGAAAAGTACAAAATTATTTACCAACAAGTAGCAAAAGCTTTGCCACAAAAAAGTAAACAGGAGCAACAGAAAGAAGCTAATGAATTGTGGTATAAAGTTAAGCATAAAGAATTGACGTATGATTCAGTTTTAAAAGAACTCACACGAAAAACAATGGAAAGTAAAAGTCAGTTGATGTCTTTTTGGTCTAATGTTAAAACATCAAATAATCAATCTATTGCAGTGAAGCTTCCTCTCACAAACGAAATATCAGATGAGGGACCAGAAGCTTTGTTAACATCCGATGAAGCAGACAAAATAGATTTTGAAATAAATAAAACACTTGCTACTTCTTCTAAATTTGATATTCAAAAAAGTCAAAAATTACAAACGAAAGTACCAATTGATCAGCCGACAAAATCTCATACTCCACAACAAGAGAAAATTCAAACTGAAATTTTGCAGTTAAAAGAGCAGCTGTTAACATTGGTAAATGTGCGCCGTGCAGGATTGATAACTGACGAACTTAAAATAAAATCGATTTTTTTAGAAAAGCAAATAAAAATAAAACAAAAGCGTCTTTAAAAAATGAAACGCGAGGCAATCCTCCAAAGACAACGCAGAGCAAGTTTGAAACGAACACTTAATGATATTGTCGATGACACGCCCTACTTAAAATCAAAACTTTCTAAATTCAATGGTAAAAATGGTAGACCAGCTGTAATTGAAGATCAGCCAGATCTTCTTAATGCCATCGTTAACATCGCATCAATAGGAGCGGCTGCTAGCGATCGACGAAGATCGCAGGAGTTACGTTCATGTAAGACACTTGATGACTTAAATAAAAGCCTACTAAAACTGGGTTATTGTTTATCGCGATCTGCAACTTATTTAAGACTGATGCCTAAGCAATCAAACACACTTGAGGGAATACATCACATTAAGACAGTTCCTGTGAAATTGATCAGGACTGCTAATACAGCTTGTGATAGGCATATCGATGCTGGATTTACATTTGCATGCATGCAATACATGGATGAAGTTTGTTCAATATTTGGTCCAGATTCATGCTTTTATTAAAGTCTAGACGACAAAGCTAAAGTACCATTAGGATTAGCAGCTGCAACAAAAGAATCACCAATTTTGATGCATCTTGATTATCAAGTACGTTTGCCAGATCATGATTTTTTAGTTGCTTCCAGACATAAGCTTATACCGTCTGTTTCTGCAGCTTGTATTATTGATCCAAACAAATTTGCTGACGCAGTGTCATATTCTGGCCCAACGTATATTGCTATTAGATCTATGAAGCATGATAGCAGCACTGCTTTTACTCATGGCCGTGATTTGGAGCATCTTGTTTCAATTGAAAATTTTAAGCTTCGTATTTATATTCCAGAAGGTCAGGTAAAACCTATATTTGTTGTTGCATGTGATGGAGGCCCTGATGAAAATCCAAGGTTTCCCAAACCATTGCAAGTTGCAATTGCAAGATTTATAAAATGGGATTTGGATGTCTAACAGGAACTCATGCACCTCATTATTCAGCATATAACAGGGTTGAACGGCGTATGGCTCCGCTGAGTCGAGAATTAGCAGGATTGGTTTTGCCACATGACCATTTTGGGACACATCTAAATGCATCTGGAAAAACAATTGACGTTGATTAAGAAAAAAAAAAAATTTGCTAAAGCTGCAGAAACTCTAGCTGAGGTATGGTCAGATATAGTAATTGATAACTATTCTGTTTGTGCTGAATATGTTGAACCTTCCCAACTGTCACCAATACCAGAGCAAGATTCAAAATGGATTGAAAATCACGTAAGACAAAGTCAATATTTTTTAATGATCGTTAAGTGTGATGTTCCGAATTGCTGTAAACCTTGGTGAAGTTGCTGGAAAAAATATTTTCCTTAACGTTTTTTACCAGGTCCAGTTGTAATGTCTCATGCTGCAGAATGAATTTTTATTCCTGAGCCAAAGGTAGCACGAAATATTCCTAAACCTTACTTTTCTTCTCTAGCGCAGCGCTTGGGATATATAGGTTCAAAAATTTCGATGGAAGATTCCTTTGATTTGTACTGCCCATCAATAATCTACCTTTAACCACAACCTAATCTAGGTTGTGGTTAAAGGTACCAAACAAACATTCTCGCCAGTTTGTCGATTTTAAAGGTTTCCTGTTTGCCAGCAAAAGCGCTTAAAGATCAACTACACAAATCTTTCAACAAGACTTTTTTGTTTTACTTTTTGTTAATGATCTTTTAAACGATTGAAAAGTAATACACTTCACTGTCACCTTGATGTTTAGAGTTAAAAATTTTCAAACACTAAATTGATTGCTTGCATTTTTTTAGCTGAAATACTTTTCAAAAATTTATAATTTCCAGTTTTCTCAAGCTTCTTAGTTTATTATATTTATCAAAAAAATTACCCTATATAAGATGCAATTTTGTTACGTGACATTTTTTACCCTATATAAGATGCAATTTTGTTACGTGACCATCGCAAGCAAATCATTTAAACTTTCTCTATTCCTCAATAGCTAATAAACGTAACCAAGTATGTGAGTTGTTACATTTATAAAACACATCAAACGATAATTATGAGGTGCCAAATAAACGTGCCTGCCCATTTATTTGGGATAAATGTTGTGGATTATTATACTAAAAACCCACAACATTTTTACCAAGCCCATTAAAATTTATTAGGTTTTTATTGTTAAATTTAAACTTCTTTTACTAATTTTAAGGTTCCTTTAGTAAAAAGAACTTTAAAGTTTCCAAAAAAAAATTGTAATTAGATCTTTTTTAAGGGCAAGTATACTTCCCTCCCTCCTCAACTGACATTTCAAAGTCACGGCCGTGGTTTTATTATTTAAAAAAAATTATTTATTTATTATTATATTCAAAAATATCTAGTTATTTATTAAAAAACATCTAGTTATAGTTAAGTATTTGTTAGTGGTGATAAGTTAGAAATACAAGCATTAACTAAGAAAAATTATTTTTTTTAATTAGTGCGTACATACTTTTATATTCAACCCCTCCCCCCCATATGCTTTTGTACGCTTTTTGAAGACCCTCCCTTCCCCCTATGAGCGTACGTACTTTATGGACAACCCCTTTCCTGTTGGTCATTTATTACACAAGATTTTTAACAGAAACACCATTAAAATTAGCTACTTGTGTATGCCGAACGTTAAATCAGTCATTAATTCGCATAATCAAAATATTTTATACAATCATGAAAAAACAACAGCAAAAACTTGCAACTGCATCAATAAATCTACCTGCGTTATGAACAACCAATGTCTAAGTAAGAACATTGTGTATCAAGCTACTGTTTCATCCAATAAACCAGATTACACAGATAAAGTTTATATTGGTATTAGCGAGACCCTTTTCAAGTTAAGGTGTGCAAACCATTTAAAATCTTTTAATTTAATTAAGTACAGCAATGATATGGAGTTATCTAAAGAAATTTGGAAACTTAAAGAAGAAAACTTTTCGTTTGTTACTAAATGGAAAATTATCAAGCGCTGCCAAACATATATTCCTTCGTCCAAAATTTGCAATCTTTGTCTTAACGAAAAGTATTTTATTTTAATGCATACAGGGGGAAACCTGTTGAACAAAAGGAATGAGTTGGTTTCAAATTGTAGGCATAAAAATGAATTCCTTCTTTCGTTTTATGATACTGGCGATTAGCTGATTTATATAAGATTTTCTTTGACGTTTTCTTTTTTTGTCTCTATAGAGACGTCAGATGTCGCTCCACTGTATTTTGTAATTTTATTAACGGTTTGTTTGTTTTTGATATAGTACAAGACTGATGATTGCCGTATAGGCATGAAACTATTAGTCCTATAAAAAAGGACTAGAAGACTTTTTTCTAACTGTAAATAAAAATAAATATATATATATATACCGCTCTAGTTAGAAAGTTGTTTACTTTCTTTATTATTGAGCACTCTTAGCCGAAATAGAGTTTTGTATTACTATTGTAATACAAATTTAACATCAATCAATATATATATATATATATATATATATATATATATATATATATATATATATATATATATATATATATATATATATGTATATATGTATGTTTATATATATATATATATATATATATATATATATATATATATATATATATATATATATATATATATATATATATATATATATATATGTATGTATGTATGTTTTTATATATATACATATATATATATATATATATATATATATATATATATATATATATATATATGTATGTATGTATGTATGTATGTATGTTTATATATATATATATATATATATACACAGTGCTCAATTTAATGGTCAGACATCACCAACCCTTGGACCATTCATGAGACCTGCTAGAGGAGGACAACAAACCATTATTGGTTTTTTCATTAAAAATAAACGATGGTTGGTTGCTCAAAAACAATCCGGGGGGGGGGGGTATATTTATATACATATATATATATATGTATATTTATATACATATATATATATATGTATATAAATATACATATATATATATATATGTATATTTATATACATATATATATATATATATATATATGTATATAAATATACATATATATATATATATATATATATGTATATTTATATACATATATATATATATATATATGTATATAAATAAATGTATATATATATATATATATATATATATATGTATATATATATGTATATATATATATATATATATATATATATATATATATATATATATATATATATATATATATATATATATATATATCAATGATTGACTATTTATAGAGAAATTTTGAAAAATTCACTGGAAACCTTTTGTGTAAAAATTACATTTGATCGGCAAGCTTTGCCACTATTAAAATGTCGATCAAATGTAATTAAAAATTACATTTGATCGGCAAGCAACCACTATTAAATTTGGGAGTTACTAGAAAACCAAGAATAGAGTTAAAGAGCAAGGAAACTGTTAAAGAAGACTTAAAAAGTTGTAGCCTGTATGAATCCGAAAAACGTGTGTTAAAGTGTGGAAAAAAACTAGTTAAATAAAAGATTTTGGAACATGAAGTGACAGATACATTAAAAGGATGTGACAAGGGAGAATAAGTCTTGTTTGATGGAAATAAAGATGATAGCTTCTTTGAGCAATACTTAAAATTCCTCTAGGAATCAAAAGATTCCTAGAGGAATTTAAAAAACTTGTTTATGTAAAAAAAAAAAAAATTTTTACTCAAAGACAAGGATTAAAAACACAGGCAAGTATAATTTCAACAAATTTTCAAATTACTCCACCCTAGATGACAATGCACAATAAAAGCACTATTAATACTGATATTTTACAGATGGTGATGAAATCAAAATAAAACTAGGAAAACAAACATTTTATTTAAACTCCATTAAAATAAAATGGTAATAATTTTAGCAAACAAAGTCGGCAACTTTTCGCCAACCTCAAACACTTAAAAGGTCAGCAGTTAGGTTGGCATTGCCGAATGCTGACCCTAATTCCGTGGGATATATATATATATATATATATATATATATATATATATATATATATATATATATATATATATATATATATATATATATATATATATATAAAATACCATAACAAATGTAAACTTCTAAAAAAAGGTTAAAAAAATACATATAATTAAGACTTTACCATTTATACCAAACTGTGAGCGCCACTTAAGACAGTCAACCTAATAAAGAAATTTTTGTATTTCATATTACTATTGGGACATTTTTTTTATTAACAACCAAATGGCATTATGCTTTATAATATATTTTACTTATTAAATAAAAACCTTTTGTTATTATGTAAAATATTTAAAAAGTAATATAGTATATATATATATATATATATATATATATATATATATATATGTAGTATATATATATTTTTTTTAATAGAAAAGCTGTGAAGAAAAATGAAATTTTAGTTTTATTAATTAAATTTAGAGGATTTTTAATTTTTTTTTTAATTTTTATGTGAAGAGCTAATGGTGACAAGTCGCAAATGAAAGCAAATAACATATAGTAGTAAATCAATACCGAGTGTACTCTCCCTTAGATTTAATTACAGCCTGAATTCTTTCAGGAACACTAGCAACCGATTTGCGGTATTCCTTGGGTGTAATTAAGTGTCAAACCTCTTGCACACGAGTCCAAAGTTCATCCTTATTCTTAGGTGGAGTAGGAAAGTTGTAGACCCGTTGTTTAACTATTGCCTATAAATTTTCGAGTGGGTTAAGATCTGGGCTTTGTGCTGGCCAGTCAACAACTTTCAATTTCTTCTCGTGAAGCAATTTAATGATCTTATCAGCCTTATGCTTGGGGTCGTTGTCTTGCATGAACATCGTGTTACATACAGTTCTGCCCCATTTTCGAAGGGACTTGAAATATCCAACCTTAAGGATGTTGAAATAGTCATCAGTGTTCATTATTCCATTAATTTTTACTATTCACCAACTACACGAGCACAGAAACATCCTCAAAACAAGAGTTTTCCTCCGCCATATTTGTGTGCATAAAGTTTAGCATAATTTAAACGAACTTGGCAGTGACGAGAAACTAACAAGGGCTCCTTGATCTTCCTTCTGGATCAAAAACCAATTCTTTTGAGCTCTTTATTGACTGTCCGCACTGAAGCATGAGTCCCATAGCTGTTATTCATTAAATTAGTAACATCCTTTGCAGTTTTAGACCCTCCAGAAGCAATTAAACGAGCGATTGTTCTTTGGTCTATTGGTGTAAAAAAAAAATTTTCAACTACTTTTAGGCTTATTTACTTCTAAATTATTGCACAATTTAATTTTATATATAAGATTATGAGACTTTCCGTACTCAGCAATGATTTCACAATAAGATTGTCCGGATTTAAGCCTTTCCACAATATTTTTTTCTAGTTCAAGATCTTTTTCCTTGTGATGATAATAACAATACTTTTTTTATGTTTTGTAAACAAAATCAAACTTTAAATGATATTTAATCGTTAAAAATCTGTGAAAAGTTGATAACTCAATCATTTTAGTCATAAAGGTATTAATTTATGTCGTATGCCTAATTAACTGTGGACAAATATTTTATTTGCTTTCATTCGCGACAAAATTGTCACCATTAGCTTTTCACATAAAAATTTTGAAAAAAACTCAATACCTTCTAAATTTAACAAAAAGCAATATTTTTAGTTAGCTAAGTCTTAAATTTAATTAATAAAACTAAAATTTCATTTTTCTTCACAGCTTTTCTATTTAAACATATATAAAATATTTTTTTGTACCAACATGGTGACAATTTTGGCACATACTGTGTGTGTATATATATATATATATATATATATATATATATATATATATATATATATATATATATATATATATATATATATATATATATATATATATATATATATATATATATATATATATGTATATATATATATATATATATATATATATATATATATATATATATATATATATATATATATATATATATATATATATATATATGTATATATATATATATATATGTATATATATATATATATATACATATATATATATATATATATATACACATATATATATATATATATATATATATATATATATATATATATATATATATATATATATATATATATATATATATATATATATATATATATATATATATATATATATATATATATATATATATATATATATATATATATATATATATATATATCAGGGGTCGAAATAAGTGCCAGACATCGCTGCCCCTCAGACCATTTTTGAGACCTGCTATATAAGGGCAACCAACCATTGTTCATTTTTTCTGCAAAAATGAACAATGGTTTGTTGCCCTCATCTAGCAGGTCTCAAAAATGGTCTGAGGGGCGGCAATGTCCAGCACTTATTTCGACCCCTGATATATATATATATATATATATATATATATATATATATATATATATATATATATATATATATATATATATATATATATATATATATATATATATATATATATGTGTATATATATATATATATATATATATATGTATGTATATATATATATATATATATATATATATATATATATATATATATATATATATATACACATATATTATTATTAAGAATCTCTCTGCCTAATAATTCTCGCCTAATAACTTTACAATAATAAATTTCAGCAAACAAAAATAAAGTTTAAATTAAATAATTATTGAGAATTATAGAGAGTAACATAGTAATGTATAAATTTTTACAAAATCCTAAAAACAAAATTTTTACAAAAATCTAGAAAAATAAATTTAACAATAGTCTGTTTGAGTAAAAGCTCATACACTACAAGGTTTTTTTTCTAAATTGCTTCATCACTTTTTAAAACTTTCCTCTAAAGAAGTTTCTAGAATGAAATGTTTATACACGCTCTCACCTATAGTTTATTCAGTTATCTCACTTATAGTTTATTCAGTTATCTCACTTATAGTTTATTCAGTTATCTCACTTATAGTTTATTCAGTTTGTACTTAGTATATACTAATTCAGTCACAAATTTATTTTTGATTGTGTTATTTTTCTAAATTAGTTACTTTAAATATTTATTTGCACACAAATTAAAATGAAAATATAACTCTTTTAATTGCAAAGTGTTAAAACAGTAGATAGATCTTTTGAACAGTAGATAGAGCTCTTGGCATTAATAAACAGTTTTTTAAAAAGACAATTTTTTTATATGAGTTGTCGTATGTGTGATGAAAAACACTTGTCTTGTGCGAATTCTTACTCTATTTCTGCTTTTGACATAGTTGAGGTAATGAAATGACATTTAAATGGTTTTGGCACTGATATGGCCAAAGAAATTGTTAAATTGATGCAAGATGGAAGTGCTGGAAAAAAATACATTTATCACATTAATATCATCTGACAATTTACACCTTGCACTTAAGAGTTTGTGATACATTATATGGAAAAAGAGTTGAAGATTTTGATGAGCATTACTTGGATAGCTCTGAGATTACCAAAATTGATAACTTTGATGATGAAATAAAATGATATGGAAATCATAATCAATGATGTAATGGAACAGATGATGTAATCAATAATGTAATGGAACAGGAAGACATGGATTATTATGACATGGATTATTATTATCTGCTAGAGAAACTTGTGAAAATCTTTGTGAAACTCAACAAAACTTGTGAAATTCCTCAAGAAATTTAAAGTCTGCACAGCATTGTTCTAAGCTAAGTAAAAGGTTTTTAATTCTAATTCACTCCTAACAAGGCTGCAAGCAACCATTATTAAGTTAGGAGTTACTAGAAATTAAAGAATAGAGTTAAAGAGCAAGGAAATGGTAAACAGAAGATTTGAAAAATTGTAGGTTGTATAAGTCAGGATAACATAAAGATAGGAGAGAATTGGGTTGAAGTGCGAGAAAAAAAAACTAGAAGTATAGAAGTTTTTAGAGCATGCTGGGACAGATACAGTAAAAGGATGTCACTTTGCCAAATGACAAGTCAAGCAAAAAAAAGTTTTGAAAGCGTTTTTGGACCTTAACTTAAAGAAAAAGAGCATCATTTGAGGAACAAGCACAAATATGACACAAGTATTCTATACAGGGAAAAATAGAAGATTTGTAGAGGTATAGAATAATGGAATCAGGAATAAGATAATGATGAGCACCATAAAGAGAAGTAACCTTATGCTAACTTTGCAATAGATTGTATATATAGTTTCTATGAGAGTTCAGAAGTGAACGATAATCCAACAAGACATCAAGAAATAAGAACTTAAGTGAGATGTTGCTAGAGTTAAGTGAGAGGGTTGCCATTCATTAGTATAGGAATCTCAACAATTTTGATATTTTTTCAGAGTTGTTTGCTATAAGTAACTAAGTTTTATTGGAGTTAAAATTCATAAGCTACTGCAATCCTTAACTTGTTATATAAATTAGATTCAAGATCAACTGTTCATTCTAAACAATTAAAAAGAGATGACTTTTTGTCACGACAGTAGTATAAAGTCATCAGTAAATAGAGCCACTTTAGATGTAATGTTGTCAGGAAGATCGTTTATGTATATAACAAACAAAACAGAACCAAGGATATGACCTTGAGGCACCCCAGAAGTTACTGGATATAAAGAAGAGTGCTGGCTTTTGAGGATGATTTTAATAATGCAGTTAGAAAGAAATGATCTCAAAAACTCTCCTAAATACACCAAATGAAATAAGCTTATGGAAGACCAGCACCTCAAATTTTATTGAAAACTTTAGATATGTCAAGAGCAAAAGTCCTTGCCTTGCCGCATCCATCTAAAACAAGAAGATCATATTGATTGTCTGACAGTGAGTTATTTGACTCAAGATGAGATGTTAAATATTTGTTGGTCAAAGATACTCAAAGCCATGGAGCCCATTAAATTCATAGTTGATAGTTTAAGTGGTGAAGAAACAACGCAAATGAGTACTGAAATATATAACAACTCATATTCAATAAACTTTCTGATTTGAACAGCAAAATAAGTAATAAGTTAATAGGAAAGTTTAAAAAAATTGTGCAGATGAGCAAGAATCCTGAGAATTGAAGCCTTAAGAATCCTGCAGTTAATCTATCAAAAGCCATGCTAATTTTTGCAGAAACTCTACTTTGCTGTGTTTTGGACTCAGTGGTTAAGTGAAGCAGCTCTTGAGACAGCAAATATTAATGAAATCTTTTGCTATGAGATAACTTGAATAAGCTACTATAAAAAAAAAAAAATCAGATATTATACTTTTCAAGAATACTGGAAATTGAAAAGAAAATCTGCAAAAGTAATGCAAAAGTGTGTACTTTTGGTATGCAATAATTTTGCATCAAATTAAAATCTGTTTACTCATATTAGTGATAAAATGAGGTAAAAACAGTAAAAAGTTTTTAAAATTTTATTTACTTTATTGATTAGAAAAGTATCAATATCATGTCTTTTGTCATATATCATATATCATATATCAATGTCATATATCATATGTCATATATCATATGTCAATATCATGTCTTAAAAAACTTATCCTGAAACTTAAAGAATCATAAATCAATTTGTTTTTTATACTTGAATTACTTTTAAATATAAAAAAAAAAATTAGCTTTTTTTTTATTGTAAAGAAAATTGTTTACAATGATACAAAAAGCTTTTTTTCTTTATTTAGGAAAATTTTTTTTTAATCGAAAATAAAAAACCTTTTACCATCATTTCAAGAGCTTTTTCCATATCTCCATGCTTGTGATTAAAAAAAAACTCAACATAGATATCATCTTGATGGACACGCTCAATATCTCGTTTGTCAAATTCTTCTAGCTCTGGACCTAAACTCAAAAACTTTTAAATATTAAAATTTATTAGAATGTTAGCAACTTACTTGGGGAGGGGTGGTAGTATTAAAACTAGTATTATTAATGTTATGCTCGGGCAACTTATATTAGAGTGAATAGGTCACAAAAACACAAAAATTGTTTTCAAAAATAGATCTTTTGGTGCCTTTTAATACTCATTTTTCTAAAACAAAACAAAAAAAAATCCTATAAATATTCCTGCAGTTACAGAACACTTGACCTCAAACTCTATGAGGTCGGCAGTTAGGTTACAAAAGAGATTGCAAAATGCAATATCTAGAAAAATATCTGGCCTTTTAGTTTATGCAAAACCCTGTACTAAAAACTATAAAAACTACAAAAGTAATAATACAAACTAGTCACTAACTACATTATAAAAGTTTTTTTTTTTTTTAAAGATTAATGTAATTTTTTTAAATCAATTTGTATTCTTAATTTTATAAACAAAGACAACAACGAATGCGTTTCAATAAACTATTTTAAAAAATACGTTTTGATAATTTAAATAAAATTTAGTTTTTTATTAAATGATAATTAAATATAAGTTTTTTTTTTTATTTAAAAGAGTTAGCCCAATATTATAAAAACATTAGAAAAGATCAAAGTTTTATAGTTCGTCGCATTGGTTTGAAAAAGTTATAACTGAAATTTTTTGTATTAGGAGAATTTTAAAAAAATCTTTTTATTTCTTTTAATATTTAATTAAAATTATTAATATAATTATTTTTTATTTGTTTATGTAATCTTTTTTAGATTGATACATAAAAATAAATTATTAAATAAAAAATGATCATATAAATTTTTTTATTTAAACAAAAAAATTATAGGATCATTTTTTATTTAAAAGAAAAGAAAAAAAGGATTTATTTGCTATTCTCCTAATATTAAAAAAATCAGTTAGAAACTCGTCAAACCAATGTGACCAGTTATTCAACCTTAATGTAATTATAAAGCATAATTTAAAATAATTTTTATTTGATTTTTAGTTTTTCCGATATATATTAGTTGATTTTTTTTTAGAGCTATAGGTTTTAATTTTTTTTTAATTTCTCTTTTGTTAAGATTTCTGTCTTTTTTATTTAGTTTACCTGTTTATAATTTTTATCCTGTCTGTTTTATTCAGTGCATTTTTAATTATAAAAAAAATTACACATGTGGTCAAGATTGGAGTGTGATCGCACGCCTCTCCTCTCCGAAACTGATAATAGTGTTATTACTTTTATAATGCACTTATAATATTTATACATATTTTTTCTTTTTTTTCAGGTACCTAAAGAAGACCTAACGGCCTTGTCACAGAGCACCGCGGAAGTGCATTTAACCAGAAAGTTCACGCCTCCTCCTGAAAAACATTCTATGAACATTCATAGAACATACTCCAACGTTCACAACGTTCATTGAACATTCTGGAACATTTTGTGTTAGCTGGGAAGCTCATTTCAAGCCTGATTTCCTGCATATAAAGCAAGTGCTCTAACCACTACGTCAAGGCCGCACATAATTCATTTTTTGTTTTCTTGTAAGACCATTGTAATTTTTTACAATTCATTATAATTCTTTTTTTGTTTTCTGGTAAGACCATTGTAATTTTTTTTTTTTCAAGAGGAAAGCGAAAATATAAATTGGTATCTGTTTGTAAAATATATTTGCATAATTTTAATGTAACAAGTATATATTGTACTTATATGAAAACATTTATGTAATGCATGCATATACTTTTATGTATAACTTTTCTTAATATATAACTATATATATATTTGTTGGTAAATATATGCACGTTTAGTAGGGGTGTGGTGGCTGTAAAAGGCCCACGCGAGATTTTATTAAAAAAGCCTATATATGCCAGATTTTACCATATATGTTTAATGTAAAGGCCCATACATGTCCAGCACTTGTCTAGTAATAAACAACACCTATCTGTCATTTTGTCCAACCCATATTTTGTGCGCTTTTATTTTATAATTATTTTAATTGATTCAAAATTAATAATAAACTTCAGTAGTGTATTAAACTTCATTTTTTGAACTTTTTATTTTTTATACAAAATAGAAAATGAAGCTATGTTAATAAAATACATTATTTTTTTGAATTTATAATTTATTTACTTTAATTATTAGCGTAATAGTTTTTTTAATTCTTATAGAAACTAGTACTTTTAATTACATTATTAAATTTGAGTTATGTTACATAATGTTTGTTTTTGTGCTAAAGTTTTTCGCTATTAAAAGTGTTTATAAGAGTAATCATAGAAAAAGTTTAAAAAAATTCATCAAAAAATACATTATATACTTTTTAGAATATTATACGTAATTACTTTTATATAAATGTCATATTTAAATGTATATATAATATTGAAATAATAATATATAATTTTTTTAGATAAAATTTTTTAGCGACTTTTTTCAATCAATATATTAAGGAAATATTTTATCATTTGCGTTAGAAACATGGACGTTTTAAATTTGTTTTTTAAATGTTTTTCTAAACTTTACTGTTTTTATCAATTCACAGGAAAGCGAGAAAACTATTGCTATTTATTTGTATTATAATGCATAACTGTATTATGTATTATAATGCATAATTATTTAAATTCTTTTATAATTGTTTTAATTTTTTTGGTGTATCTTTCAGCGATTAGTAATGGGAAAGTAATGATTACATGTCAAAAATAATGGAGAAATAATCATTACTGCACCAGTAAAAAGTAATGGAGAAAGTAATCATTACTTTTCCAGAGAAAAGTAATGGCTAAAGTAATTATTACAAAATCCGAAGTAATGTATATAACACTGTATATATAAATATATATATATATATGAGTGGGTCAGAAGCTAAGGGGTACAAGTGACAATTTTACCAAAATTAAGTTAAGTATAGAATTTGATAGAAGCAAATAAAATTGTTGGTGGCCAAGGGATACAAGTGAATCTCTGCCCTGTGCTGCTTTCTACTGGAAAAACATAACAACAGCTGAGTATATTTAACAAAAATACTTTAACTTTAAACAGCTGTATCTCAAAACTATGAAAATGTCACTTGTACCCCTTGGCTTCTGACCCACTCATATATATATATATATATATATATATATATATATATATATATATATATATATATATATATATATATATATATATATATATATATATATATATATATATATATATATATATATATATATATATATATATATATATATATATATATATATATACATATATATATTTATATATATATATATATATATATATATATATATATATATATATATATATATATATATATATATATATATATATATATATATATATATATATATATATATATTATATATATATATATATATATATATTTATTTATATATACAGCGGTGGCCAAAAATTAAAGACCGATCATTTATTAGTTGGTTTCTTAATCTTTAAATCAAAATTACAAAGATTTTAATTGACATATTAAATTTTTTTTTTAATATCTTGTTAATTAAAAAATACGGATTAAAATGGTATAATTTTTTAAATTTAATTCTAATTAAATAGCGTTTAACTTATTAAAAAACTGATGAGTACTTATAAATCTTCTTTAAATAAATTGGACAAAATTTAACGACCACTTTCAAATCTTTAATTTGCACTTATTAAAAATAATAAACGATTATTATTTTTTAACTGTCTTAATTGCTTATTACGTTGGCTATAAAATAAAATGTTGAAACCTGAGTTTCGATATCAAATAAACATTTATTTTTTAAATTGTAATAAGGATATAAAAATATTGCAAAAATGCGTGCAAAGATCGAAGAAAAAGACAGGTACACGGCTCTTGTATTAAAAGAAGAAGGCTATAGCATCAGACAAATAGCAAAAAAGCTCGGAAGGTCTCACTCATGCATTATTAACATAATTCAACAATACAAAGAGACCGGGTCAATTAATGATCGTCATAGGACTGGACGCAATAAAATTTCAAATGACCATGATGTTCGCTCGTTAGTGAGATTAATGAAAGAAAACAGACAAGCATCATCTACAGACTTGTCTACGAAATGGACACTGTCAAATGGTCTGAAAGCAAGCCCTAGAACTGTGCGAAGGGTCCTCCACAATTTAAATTTATGGTGTGCTGCTGCAAAAAACCACGCTTAAATAAAAAACAAAAATTTGCCAGAAAAAAGTGGTGCAAACTACATAAAAATTGGTCAACAGATCAGTGGAGCCGTGTGGTCTTTAGTGATGAAATGATCGTTGAGGTAGACAACAGAAAAGGTCGCATTTCTAAATTATTTTTTTATTGCTTTTTGAAATATTTTTGAAACTGGTCTTTAAATTTTGTCCGACTTTTTTTTCCATTTATATTTTTTACTAGTCAGTTTTTTAATTTTTTAACATTATTTTGTAAAAAAATTATAAATTCTTTTATGATAAATATAAAATACAATAAAAATTCTTTGTAAAAATGTTTTTCTTTTTTTGATATATTTTTCCAAAATAAAATTATACTAAGGTTAAAAATAAATTTTGAAAAAAAAATGAGTGGTGTTAAATTTTTGTATATATATATTAAGCCTTGTTTTGAGATTTTGTTGCCTAACGGAAAAGCATACGTGAATAAGTGTAACTTTACTGAAAAAACATATTTTAAAAAATTAAAAATTTAATTATGTCAGTTTTGTATTTTAAAGTACTGCATCGTAATTAAATTTAATTTAAAAACACATTAAAAAATGTTGTAAGTCTTTATCTTTATAAAATATCTTTAAATTAAACAATATTGCTATAAAAATTTATGAATAAAATTCCAATATGTTGTTATAAAAAAAAAAAATCTTATTTTAAAAACATATAGAGTAAAACAAAGATAAATGAAATAGCAGTTAGAATAGTTATGACAATGTTTATTTTTTTGCTTTTAATTAATTATTGAATAATCTTTTTGCAAATATTTTTAAATGACGTAGAATTTACTGAATATTTTTA